TCTTTCCCTCCAGTATATCCAAGGGTTCACCTTGATAGTGCCTTCTGCTCTTTGAAGGCCGAGACCCATGGGCCTGAGCAAGGCTGAGGGCCTTCTGAATATGTACTGGGCTGTGAAAACTTTACCATGACTTTAGAACCATTTCTCAAGCACTTGGGTGCACACGGCACAGGCCTGGGGGCATTTTCTGCTCCGAGCTGCAGTAAACCTCTCTGCGCCTCAGCTTTCTCATCTTTAAATGGCTTACTCAGCCTAAATCAGTGGAATTCAAATGAGATCAGTGAAACCAAGATAGCTGATATGCCAACCCTTCTGCTGGCCTCTGGGTCATGGAGTTTTCATTAGTTTGCTTTGTTTTGTTTTAACTTCATTTTCATACAACTTCTTAGAAAGAAAGAATTCTGAGGCTTAGAAGAAAAAAAAAGGTGAGAAAAATTGACCTTGGTAATCCTTTTCCAAAGAGCTCCTGGAAAAGATAAATCTAGCGTTTAAGGTCAGGTGAAAGAACTTCTTTTAGTAGCTAAATCATTTCTCTTTCCTTCTTGTCCACCTCACCACCACCTCTGCCCAACAATAACAACACACACATACACACACTCTCTCACACACAACCGTGTTCCTACCGCCTTGGTTGTGCCCTTAACCCTCCCTCGGCTGGCCTTTTCCAAATAAAAAACAGAGTACTTGCCTTCTGATGTTTCTAAGAAAGACTCAAAAGGCTGTGAGTGACTTTATCCCAAAGCGCTATGCAAAGGACCACCAAAGCTCAAGACCGGGCCTTGATTGCCTTCCCTCCTGTGGAAGATTACGTTATTATTCCCAAATATGACCTCTCCGTGGAATGGGTTCTCAATCCTCGCCCATTTCACATCTCTTGTGCTGCCTCCTTCAAGGGGGAACACAGTCCCACCACATGGAGAATGGCCTTGGTTGTGGGACTTGCTTCAGCCAATGGCATGTGAGAGACATAGGCATGTGTAGGGAGAAGTGTTCAGAGCCATGGTACATTTTCTCTGTTTTTTTTTTTTCCTCCTGCTGTGAGAACAGTATATCTCAAATAGGGACTTTTCCTAATCCAACACCCTGGAAGATAGAAAACATATGAGTAACTCTATAGATGATGCTAGTGACTCACTTCTGACATGGAATACCATCAGGAAATAAGCTTTGTTACAGTAAGGCAAGGCAATTTGAAGATATTTGTTACTGCAGCTGAGCTAACTGACTGACTGATACACTTCCTGTTCATGCCCCACTATTCTCTATAGCTATAACAAAGGCAGGTGAGGTTTGACTGCTACTCTAGGAGAAAGTTTCAGGAATAAAAAGCTGATCTTGCACCTGGGAAGTTCTGGCTTTTTTGTTTTTTGGAGAGGATTCTGTTATGGGGTGCGTGTGTTCCCCAGAAAGACAGAAAGCGATAGAGGGACAGAAAGTGAGAAATTACCCCTCCCAGGGGGGATGGCCATGCCGCAATCCCTTCTCCTCCATTCTCCTCTCAGGATCTTGGGCACACACACACACGTGCCTGGAGTGAGTTTAAGCCACCAGGTCTGAGACTCGAACCGTGGTCATCCACATGGGAGTCTGGCAACATAGCCATTATGCCAACTGCTGGTCCCCATCACCTAGGAAGTTCTGGATCCATGGATTACCCCAAGGGAAGGTGGAGTGGGAGCTGCCCAAGAAAAAATGTTTTAAAGATTCCAGTATCTAAGAATCAGAATAGGCAAATAAAGGGGGAACTTGACCTTCAAATAACCCCCTACACACACTCACACACACACACACACACACACTCACATCCCCCACCTTACCCTGGAGATGGTTTTGTTGAGTAGCCCCATGATTCCTGATAAGTCAGCTTCTAAGTTGAATATGTTGGTGAGACCAATCTGGGAAAGTATCTCTTCCAGGGTGTATGTTCCGGAGATGGAAAACCTTGGCAAATGCAAATCCAATAGACTAGAGAGAGGAACAGACAGAGAAATGGTGATGTCTCATTATTATACAGTCTATCCTTGTCCTGCCCGTTAGCACCTGAGCTGTAGGAGAGAGAGACATTTCTCAGGGTGAGGACTGACCAGTCCTCCTGCAACACTCCTGCTATGGCAGAGCACTCTGCTGCCCAGACCTCCCTGCTCTTCAGGGTCCATGCAATGCCCTGTGGCTGGGTCTCAGCCCTTGGTACAGTCTGATGTCTCCATCACCTCCTCACATTTACGGAGGGCTTTCCAAGTGCCAGGTGTTGGGATTAGAAGTATTTAGGAGGCTTGACTGAGTGAACTCACATAATGGCCATATAAGAGACTTCTAAAACTTCATGGGAATAGAATTATAGTATAAGTTTATGTTGGTAAAATATTTTGAACTCCATGCAGTTTTTTTTTTTTTTTACAATATGCATTATCCATGAACTTTTGGAAAATCCCTTGTTTTTTTTTACAATATGCATTATTCATGAACTTTTTGAAAATCCTTTTGCTATTACCATTTCCCCACCTCCATATTAGATTCATTAGCAAGTTCTGTTTTCTCCAGCTGTACCCTAAATCCATTGTTGGCATCCCTTAATACAAGCCACTATCATCTCTCACCTGCCTGAGCTTCAGTTCTCTTATCTATAAAGTGGCATGGGGACACCTACTCTCTGGAGACATTGTGAGGATGTGCTGAGGGACTGTGTGTGTCATGTGTGAGTCCCAAATAGAGAGGATAGCTCTCCCTGCTGTGCCTGGTGAGCCTTTATAGCCAGATTGCCATTCTGAGTTCACAAGTTCCTTTTGACCCAAATAAAATCTGTCCTTTTCTCCCTGGGATTATTATTCTCCTTATTGTTTGACAATTGCCTTGAGACCTGCAAGCCTGCTTAGTTAATACTCTTGGAAGCTTCTGCTTCTAGTGAATTCAGATTGAAGAATCTAATTCGGATTAGAGAATCCCTACCAGTTTAACTCTAAGGCACTGTGAGGGTCCAAATAAATAACTGACATGGGAGAGCATCTTAGACTATTTGACAAATTTCCATAGGCAACATATATTGCCAGTCTGGTGGAGCTAGGTTGGAGCACTGAGTAGAGTCTAGTGGAGATGGAGCTGATAGAGGGGCCTGACATGCAGTAGGTGCTCAACAAATGTGAATGAATAAACAAATGAAGTGCCAGGAAGCATGATTCCGCTAACAGAGCTAACATTCTTCACATCTGCATGTGCAGGTCCACCCAGGAACCAAACCCTGATCTTCAATGTCTTCCAGCATTACAGAGCATTGCACTACCCCTTCACCATCACAGCTGGACCATAACTATTCTTTTATATATTTATTTTTCATGAGTGCACAAGAGGGAGACAGAGACAGACAGACAGATAGAAAGATAGCACCCCAAACAGGATCTTGAGGCCATGATCCATCCCAACTTAGCCAGTCCTGGGTCATGGGCATGCATATGCCCAGTGTACTCAGGGATGTCTTTAGATGCAAACCTAGAACCTTTCCAGAGGTCAGCTCCACATAATATTGTGTTTTACCACTGCACCACCATTCAGCCATGATTATTCTTAATAACTGTCCTTGATCTGTCCTTTTGCTATACTTAAGTACCTTCTAGTAAGAGATTATTATTAAGAAGGAAACAAAAGGAAAAGAGATTGAAGTTAGATAGACAACTAGGATGGTCAAAACGCAGTGAGCACTTAAGTTTCATGTATTAGTTTGGGTTCTCTGTGATTATTAACTCAATTTTATTAATTCTCTGAGTACCCCCAGTGAAAGAGGTATCACGTCCATATTTTTACAGCTAAGGAAATCTAAGGCCCAAAGAGGTGAGAAAATTATACCAAATCTCAGTTAATAAAGGAAGACAATGAGTCAAACTATCTAAGGCCCAAAGAGGTGAGAAAATTATATCAATTCACAGTTAATAAAGGAAGACAATGAGTCAAACCCAGCAGCTGAATTCTTCTGAGAAGTTGATTGAAACTTGCTTGAGTTCATGGACAACATCTGCCCAAGTCCTTCACCCTGGAGCTTACCTGGGCAGGAACAACTGGGCCCATTTTCTCAGGGTCTCTGGCTGCAGAGTGGCCTCCACCTGCTTCATTTTCCCAGGGTCAGGGAGGATCAGGAGCAGCAGGGCGTTTCCACTGTATTCTATCTGGAGGACGGTGCAAGCCATCTCCTGGTCATAAAGGAATCTGTGCATTTCCTTTTGGTGCATGATGGGGACACGGAGAGGGGTCCTCTCATCCACAAAGAAGCTACCCTGCTTCTGGGTCTGGTAGTGATTGAAAGGATGCTTCCACTTAGCTTAGGACAAAAAAAGCAAATAAAACTATGATGACACATTCCAAGAGAGCAGCTCTGGGCAGACGCACATAAAGCCTCTTGAGTACATGAGGATACAGCAAAGAAGTGGCCTGGATACAGAAACAGGAGGCCAGTAGCAGGCTGGCTCAGCCTCTAGAGCAGGCACCAGAGTTTGAGCACTAATGGCCACGATTTTAGTGCTTTTAAGAGGCTGAAAGTTATTCCCATCTACTAAACACCATCCATGTGTGACGAATCATCTTTTCAAATCATCACAGAAATTAATAAGAGGCAAATATCGTGTTCCCCACTTTAGGGAGGAGGAAACTGAGTCTCTGAATTTATCTCAACAGTCCAGTTTGCGCAGCCATTGAGGTAGCTGAGTTGGACTGGAGATCTGACTCGGACTCCACAGCTCAGGGTCTCTGCGAACGTGGAGACAGTCCTTTCCTGCCAAATGCCTCTGGATAAGCAGCCTTCTACAGAGTAGCTCGAGAGCTTCTGCCCTCTCAATTTCCTAGTATTCAAACTGAAAAAGGAGAAAGAATCCAGTTCATAAAATGGAATGCATAATGCAAAGACCCGTTAATGTACAGTTGGAAGCATGGCCATGTCCACATGTGTGGTATCTTCTCTCTTCTTTCTTGTAATCTGCCCTCACAACCACCTCCTGGAAGCACTGGTCTTGGAGACAGGGGGAGATGACAGAGTCATCCTATCCTCTTGTCACACACTCAATCAATAACTGAGTATTGGTGGTCCTGCCTTCAAAGCCCCAACTTTATTCAAGGCCATCATCATATTTACTGTGGGTCACTTTTGAGAACCCCCTAAGTTGTCTCTTCTCTCTCTTCCTTCCTCCTTTCCGAACTATTTTATAAATTGTAGCCAGATTATCTCCCCAAAACATACGTGATTGTGTCACTTGGCTGCCTAAAGCTCCCTGGCCATTTGGAGGCTCTTTGGATAAAGTCTAGGATCCTCAAGATGGCTCAGCCACCTCTGCACTGCAACTCTCAGCATTCATCCTGCTTCCCTCTACTGCATCCTATGTTCCAGTCAAATTCAGTTCTTTAAAGAACAATGACTTTTCTTTCACCGGGGCCTTTATATATGTTGTTTTTCTCAATCTGAACCTTTCTCCCTCACCAATCCCACAGCTTCTTCCCCTGAGTAGATCTAGCCCACTCTTCATGTGTCAGCTAGATACCTCTTTTCCAGGAAGCCTTCCCTTGCTCCCCGGTTTTAGATGGGTGTTTCTTTTGGGAGCTCCTTGGCACCCATGATGCATCATCATCCCTCTGAATTGTGTCATTTCTGTTTATTTCCACCCCGTGTGGGACTTGACTTATGTGAGGGCTGGAGAGCCCTATCATATTCATAGGCCTTCCCAAGAGGCTGACCGAGTCCCAAGAGGCTAGAAAAGAACCCGATGGCAGTCTCTCTTTAGTCAGAGCACTGATTTGCAGGGGAGGTGGTGACGATTCTGTCTGAGCAAGCCTTACCTTTGAAGAAGATATAATTCAAGAGAACCATGAGTGTGTCTTGGTTGAACTCTGGGAGGCAGCCCACGATTTGTCCATACGTATGCTTTCTCACGTAGTTGTTAATCTGCCTCCCAGTTGCAGCAAAATCCGTGAAGTTGGCAGAGAAAGCAAGAGCTCCATAAAGCTCCTTGGTGTTGTCCAGGAAGTGCCGCTGGGGCTTCAGCTGCCTGTCTAGGAAGAGGGAGGTCCCTACTTTCAGTTCAAGTTTGGGGCTCGGCAGGCTGAGCGTGTGGATGAGGCTCTGGAAGCCCTGGTGGATGTCGGCTTCTGAGGTCTCTGTGAGGTTGAAGCCTAAGCCCTCCAGGATCTGAGTTGGGGTGTCAGCCTGGGCCCCAAGAGAGAGCAGGGCCAGGGCGGTAGAGATGCTCACCGGGGAAAAGAAGATGTTTCCTGGGCTTTCTGCCGCCAGCTGCTTATACAAACGCAAAGCGAAGTTGGTGATGGTGGGCGTGACTTTGTGGTAGGCAGGGGTTGGTTCTGAGAGCTGCTGGCTGGGAGGTTGAGGCACCACAAGACTCTTATCGCCATGAGCAAGAAAAGGCTGGCAGTGGACAGAAGCCAGGATCCCTGTTCCCAGTAGCCACAGCCAAACTGGCCCCATCCTCTGAAAACAAGATGGTGGGCATGTCACTTTCTCATGAATAGTTACAGTTCTCCACTGCTCACACAATAAACTACGCTATCCAAACTGTGTCCCACAGGGGTGTCACTGGCACACTGCAGAGGACAGGGTGGTGGACTCTGGACCCTCCCCTCCAAGGCTGTGGTCAGAACAGCAACCCGTTATCGGCTTTATGTATTGATAGGTCTTCGTGACTGTAGTGCGTAAAGGACTCTGGACTACTCAAAAAATTCCCACAGTGCATCCTCCCCCTCTGCCTCCCTAACTTCCTTTCTTCTTTTTGTCTCCTTTTCAGTCATTCTTTCAACCATTCATTAACTTTCAAGGCTCTCTCCGCCCCAAGCCACTTTGATATCCAGTATCCAGTGGGAAAAACAAGTGTAATACGTCATTTCTGATTGCATAGAGTTGAGGTAGGCTCTAAGTGGGGGACTGTCGACAGTTAAATAAGCAAGTGTTCGGGCACTGACAGTGGTAAGGCTAGGCCTTCCTTCACCTAGGTGTGGCCACTCACCGCAGGTGTGAATTGGGAGGGACAGGATGACGTGCAAAGCTGCAGTCAGGCTCCAAAAGGAAAAGGAACATCCCTGCACACCTGGTCTTTGGTAGCTGGAGTGTGGCTGTGAGAATTAGCCATCCGGGCCATGCGGGTGCGGGCCGGCATGAGGGATGGCAAAGCAGTGGACTGCTAGAGCCTGAAAGAGTGGAGAGGGGACCCTGTGTCTCATGTCCTGCAAAGCCTCTACGCCTGGAATATCTCTTGTCACATGCAGCGGTCGAAACCTCTCTCTTCACTGATGTAGGGAAGATGTCATAAGATGCCTGTGCTGAAGTCCTGGTCCCCACTGCCCCGGAATGTGACCCTGTCTGGAAATGGAGTCGCTACGGGCATAATTAGTGAAGTGGGAGTGCTTAGAGCAGGCCGCTGTATGCAGGGGAATTTGGACACGGACACACACAGGGAGGAACGCCCTGCAAATGGAAATCAGGAGGATGCTTCACAAGTGAGGGAGTGCCACAGATGGCCGGCAAAGAACCGGGAGTGGGGGAGAAGGCTGGAGCAGGTTCTCCCTGCCAGATCTCAGACCAACCAGCCCTGCCGACACCTGTTCTTGGACTTTCAGCCTCCAAAACCACAAGGCAAGACATCCCTGCTGTTTCAGTACCACCCAGTGTGTGGCACTTTATTAAGGCAGCCCTTGCAAACAGATGTGCTTTCACCGGTGCTTAATGAAGTTATTACCCATGCGGGAAGGGCCTTCGGTCCACCGCTAGGTGTTCAAAGTGATGCATGCTCAGGAAGGCTCCTTGCTTCAAGGCGGGAGTGCAGTGTAGACCATGCTTCCTCTACTCACCCTGCTCCATGTCTACTGCCCCCTTCCTTTTCACCCGCTACACCCCGACGTCCTCACACTGCCAGCTTACCACCTTGCCCCTCCCAGACCTTGGTGTCCTTGGTCAGGGGAGCCTCGCTCTCCTGCTCCCTCCAACATCGACCCTTCCCCTCGTTGTCCCACTGCACGGCACCTGCCTGCTGCTGACACCCCCTCCCTGTTTGTCCTGGTAACATTCGTGTCTCCATCGACACCTCTAATACTTCTGCCCAAGTCAGTGACTGCAGATCGACCTCGCATGCTATGGCAGTGTGGGAGAGACTGTATTTTGCAGGGAGTTTACGGCCCCTGGTGCCCTAGGGACCCTGTCCCTCAAACCACCAAGGCCAGTGGTCAGAACGTATCTCATGATCTGTTGTGTTGAAATGCGCCTGTGGTCAAAGTCCTGCTGGGCTTCCCAAGGCCACGCCCTCCCTCCCTCCAGCACAGCTCGGTGTGGCTCACTTACTGACAGTTTCTGTACCCTGAGTTTTCTTGGATGGAACTTTGAAAGATGCATGATAATTTTTCAATTTTAAATTTACACTACCCCTGAGCAACATAAGAAAGCAACACGGGTGCAACCATTTTTGGTTCATTCTTTACATCCCATTGAATCTGCACAGTTTGGCATCCCAAGGATTCCCAGACAAGCAGAAGGATCTACTTCCCAAAGAGGACTGCATTGTAGAGCAGGGGGCCTGGGTTTGAATCAAGGCTCTGAGGACATTTGCTGTGTGATACTCTGCAAAGGAATTCTCAACTCATTTCTCCCTCTGCGGAATGTGAGCACTAATGCCTATTTCCTGAGGGAGAGCCTACTGAAAGTTTAGATAACACACAACATACAAAACACCTGGTAGCAAAGATTGTTTTCTTCCCTTTCTTAAAGATACCAAATTCCACTTCATTCGTTTTTCAGAAAGATCCCGAAGAAAAAGTAAGAACCTTACTCAGTCCCCTTTATTTGTTGATTTAAGAGATTTTTGCTATCGTGCATGTGTGCTTACCAAAGAGACAAAGAGAGACAGAGAGAAAGTGAGAAATCACTCCCCGGGGTGGAAGGCCAGGTTGCAATCCCTTCTCTTCCATTCTCCTCTTGGAAATTTGGGCATGCACACACATGCGCCCAGTGTGAGTTTCAAGCCGCCAGGTCCAGGACTGTAACTGTGGTCAACCACATGGGAGTTCAGCACCTTAACCGCTACGCCACCTGTTGGCCCCCAATGTTCGCATTTGTAGTAAGGGGTTATTCTGCCATGTGGATATTAGATACATTGCATCACTGGTATCCTGCAAGAGGTGTTTACAAATGCAGAGGGAGGGGGTGTTAGAAGGGGGTAGAGTGATAATTTGGATTGTCTCAACTACCCACCAGTGGAGGGGTTGTTACTGGAGCTTAGCAGGTGAGAGTCCCTCATGCAGAGACTCTTGAAAGGCCCAGAACAGTCAGAGTCAATGAAGAATGGTCCTGCCCAACCCCACTGGCACCTTCGAGAAACATCTCTTAGCCATGTTGTATGTGTGGGGAAACTGAGACTCAGTTTACAAATCCAGGGAAGAGGCAGGAGTAAGATTCAGATTCCAGCCCAGAGCTCTTGAGCATGACCCTTTTCACATTACAGAGCTGGCACACCTCTATGGCACATTGTCACTTTGCTCTGGGTGGTTTTTTTATTTTCTCCTCTGACTGCCAGGACTATTTAGGGTTCCTCTCTCAAAATTCTTTTTTTTTTTTTTTGGAGAGGTTTTTGCTATAGGACGTGTGCACTCGCCAGACAGACAGGGAGAGACAGAGAGACAGAAAGCAAGAAATCACCCCCCAGGGGGGATGGCCACGCCACAATCCCTTCTCCTCCATTCTCTTCTCGGGATCTTGGGCACGCATGTACACGCGCCTGGTGTGAGTTTAAGCCAACGGGTCCGAGACTCGAACCGCGGTCAACTACGTGGGAGTCCAGCGTCATAGCCATTACGCTAGTTGCTGGGTTCCCTCCCCCCCCCCCAAATTCTTGAAAGCCATGTTCTCCATAACGTTATTGAAAACCTGAAATTCCTACTTCAAGACTCTGTGGCAGTACAGGATTGCAATTTTCTTCAGGGGATTCATTTCTCCCATCCCTACTGCAAAGTGAAAAAGAGAAAAGAGGGAGGGTGACAAAGAGAGAGAGGAGAGAGAGGGCGGGGGGAGAGTGAGAGGCAGCCGCTGCCCTGCCTTCACTGGGACAAGCACAGTACTCACAGAGCGGTCTCTGGGCTGGGCCCCGGATCCTCAGCACTGCATTGCCTCCTACCAGCGGGAAAATGGTGTCGG